GATTCAGACAGCTTGGTTCAAACCCAGCTTGCCTTCCTGTGAAATGGGTGTAATAATACCTACCTCCTTGGATTGGTATGAGGATTAAATAATGAGATCCGAATCCATGGGAAGGTCCTTACTTAATAGGTGCTCAATGAAGTGTTGCTGTTAGCAACGCATTCCTGGCAGGTGCACATGTTTTTGTTTTCATGGAACCTGCATTTGTGAGTGTTTGTGTGTGTGTCTGCATGTGTGCATTTTCCTCAATATGGCCACACCCTCCTTATAACTCATGTTTCAGTTGGCTGAGAAAGGCCTGTTTCCTCCTCTCCTTAAGTATTCAGGATGGGGGCACATTTCTAGCTGGGTCAGTGATCCCCGGAACTGGTTTGGGGGCCACAGGGGAGAGGGTCTCAGGGACATAGCAGCATTTCTCTCTGCTTGGAAGAGCTGGCTCTCTCCTTTTATGTATAGGACCCAGAGCTGAAGCTATGGTTGATATTGGGAAAGACCTAGAGCCAGGAAAATAAAACCTAGCCCTTCAGGGAGCAAGCCATCTGGGCGTTTCACGGATATGGCCAAAGTCATTTATGTGTGAGCTCTGTGCCACCTGGGCCCTGGGCCAGGACTGTAGGCACATGGTCTCATTTATCATCCCAAGGATCCTATAAAGTCAGTATTACCCCAATCTTGCAGATAAGGAATCGGGGGTTCAGAGAGGTAAGTGACTTGCCCAAGGCCACGCAGCTTTTAAGAGAGAACTTGGAGGTCTCTGACTACCCACAAAGCCCATGTGCCCCAAACTCCTGTGCCTCCCATCAGCACGGCATTTCTACCTGTGTGGGCAAGTGGAATCAAAGGACCCAGGAAATTCAGTGCTAGAAGGTCGTTTCTGATAACTTCAGGGATAATCTCATCAAGCCCTGAGGTTCCAAAGCTAAGAGAGGGGAAGTGTCACTGAGGCTGGAACCTGGATATCCACTTCCAAAGCCAGGCTTCCACTCATCAGCTCTTGTGGTTTCACTCCTGAAATCCTTGCGTGCCTCCCCTTAGCCCCAGACTCCCTGTGGATTTTAACTACGGGGGAAATTCGGCAACCTGGCCAGGAAGGAGTGGGTAACCTTAGTGTGGGTTTTTATTTCTTTCCCAGGGAAGGGAGATGTCGGGAGCTCGAGGAGGGGTCGAGGACAGAATAACAGCCTTCGGCCCCCAGGCCTCCTGAAGTTGCCAGCCCTAAGTTTTGGCTGAAAAGGCTGTGGGTCCTGCTGTACCCTCTGGGCCTCAGGACATTGTATGAAGGAGTGACTGACTGCCCAGGGCTCATCACATCAGCAAGTGATGCCCATCTCGGTCCTGGGCCAGACTTCTAGTCTGGTTAATGTGCCGGGCACTTAGGAGGGGCTCAAGAATTATTGAAGGAGGGAAGGAGGGGATGGCTGAGGGGGTGAGCAGTGGAGGAGCGGGTGAGAAATGGCCATTGCAGTTATCATCATCGCAGTTAGAGCATCATGACCGGGGGCTGGAGGGAACAAGTGGCCGAAGGCTTGCTGGGCTCCTTGGGTAAGGACTCGCAGCGTTGTGCAGACGCAGCCGTACGTGGGCGTGCTTCTCGTGAAAGTACTCAAGCCCTGGCAGTGGGGGCCAAAGGGGCTTTTTGTTTGTTTTTTTCTTTTGGATGTTGGGTGACCAGGAACTAATCTCTGCCCCATCTCCGGGCCTCACTTTCCTCACCTGTATGATGGCATCATACCCCTGTCCTGCCCGTGTCCCAAAGCTATTCTTTAGCATCTAGTGTTATGAAGGACGAGAAAGCATGTTAGAAAACCGAAAGGCTCGGTGCAGAACCAGAGCCTCATTAGAAAGTCAGAACATGGGCTTAGTGAATTGCAATTAGTCGGTAATAAGCTCCACTCCTGATTTCATTGTGCCCAGATTATTAATTATCTCTGCAGGCTGCAACAGTGTGAGCACCACGCATGGTCATTGAAAGTTGGGTCTTTGTGTGTTTGAATCTCTACTGGCGCTCACCAGCTTTGTGATCGTGGGCAAGTGACTTGGAGTCTCTGGGCCTCTGTTTACCCACCCGTAAAATGAGGATGTCACACCAGCCTCACTGGGTTGTCGTGAGGGTCCACGAGCCAGGCGTGGGCGACTGGCTAGACTCGGTAGCTCATCCATCATATATTACAGTGCTCCTACTGTGTGTCAGGGCCTGTGCTGGGCACTGTGATGGGGAGAGCTTAACAGAGCTCCCAATGGTCAGAGAGACAGACCTAACATCTGTTTCCAAGTGGCAGTCACTGAGGAGGGCCCACGGGGCTGAGAGCTACAGGTTGCCTGAAAGTTAACAGGGAGAAGAAGTGAAGGTGGGTGATGACGGGGAACACTACGCATTGGTCCCAGGAACAATGTGTCGCAGGAGCCGCTGAGGGAGGGAGAGGATGGAGGGAGAAAACGTGGCGGGAGCTCTTTCTGAGAGCGATGGGTGGCTTCTTTCCTGGAGTGTTTTAAGCAGACGGGGGCCATGTTTGGATGCTTCTGTTTTGGAAAGATCCCTTTGGTGCAGTGGGGGGAATTGGATTGCAGAGACCAAGAGCTTTCCAGAAGAGGCTCTTGTAGGGGGCCATGTGGGGATGCAGAGATGGGACCGATTCCTGGGAGATTTCGGAAATAAAACCAGCAGGAGTTGAGGAGGGAATGGGTATGTGAGGGAGAGGGACGTGTCCGGGTTGATGATCGGTCCTGGTGTGTGAACCTGGGGGAAAGATGGGCCAAACTAGAGGGGGTGGGTTTGGAGTGGGGCGATAGAATGAGCTCAATGTTGGACATGATGCTTTGGTTAAGTAGAATTTGGCTGGTGGGTGGAGCTGGTGCTCCAGCAGGGGGCGCCACACTAGCAGAGGCAGGGAGGAGGGCCGGTAGGGCTCGGGGATGGCCAAGAGGTGGAACAGAGTACATGGGAAGCTGTTTTCCTTGAGGTTATCCAGGTGCCACAGGGTGTGCTGGCAGCGGCAGGCAGCCACCTGGCATTGATGGCAGTGCTGCCTGGGCTAATGACTAGGGAGAGAGAGTGAGTGAGTGACAAGGTGTCAGGGGAGCCCGCCCCAAGCACAATGGCCCACATGGTCACCAGAGCTGGCAGGGAGGGGCCTCATTAGGGTTTGGCTGTGCTCCACGTTAGGCTGGGGCTGTGGGTAGAGGCCCTCCACCCAGATATGAGTAAAAGGCAGGGGAGGGGTGAAGGGGTGTGGTGATTCCTGGGATGAGGGAACCTGGTTCTAGCCCTGGCTTTGCCAGATACTCACAGGCTGACCTTGGGAAAGTCGTTCATTCATTCGTTCGTTCGTTCATTCATTCATGTTCCAGACCCCGTCTCTGCACTTTGCAGGTATTACCTCATTGGATCCTGGCAGCAGCCCTGTGGGGTGGCTACTCCTCTTAACCCTGTTTTACAGATGAAGAAACTGAGGCTTAGAGAGGTGAAGGTTTCAAAGGTCACAGCACGCGGAGGGGCTGAGCTTGGAACCCCTTCGAGTCTGCATTGACTCGAAGATTCGTTTTTTTCTGTCCTGTACTTGTGGTTCCCAAACCTGGCTGCTCATCAGAATTACCTGGAGGGCTTTTTGGACGTTACAGGGGCCAAATTTTTTTCCCTCTTCTTTTTATTTCCTGAACCAGAATCCCTAGATCTTGAGCCCTAGCGCCAGAGTTGGGAGACACATCCGTGTGGGGACTGGGCCCCGAGCCCGCCCCGCCACCCCGGCTCCTGCCTCTCCCGCCGTGGTTCTCTCTGCTCTGGGTACCAGCGTGCTGTTCTCAGAGAAAGCCCAGCTGGCTTCCACCTTGCCCTATGCACTTGTCCTTCCGGAACACTCTGCCACCAGCCCTTCTTGTGGCTTGTTCCTGCTCCTCTCGTCCTTCCAGTCCCTTGATGGAATGTCATCTTCTCACGGAGACCTTTCTGACCATCCCCACTCTGTCCCCCAACTGTTACTGTCAGACCCACAGGTTCTCTACCAGGGCCACACACACACCCCAGTCACCTGCCACACTTTAAAATCACTGATGCCCAGAGACTGATTCTGTTGGTCTGGGTATTAAACGCTTGACATCAGTGTCACCAAAAGCAGCCTGGGATATGGGTCACTGCACCATCCTACCCTCTCTGTCTTGCTCACGCCTCTCTCTGTGTTTGTTGTCTGTGTCTTCACTAGAATAGAGCCAGGGCTTGGCCTGTCTTGTGCCCTGCCATATTCCCAGCACCTTGAAAAGCACCCAGCACACAATAGGAGCTCAGTAAGTACCTGTCAGATGAATGACTGGGATGAGAGGGGCTTGGGAAAAGGCAGCTTGGCCTCTGATGAGCCCTCGGAACAAAAGGGGAAATTTACCTGATCAGCCAAGTCCCCACCTCCATGCTGCCTGGAAAATCCCATGGTAGCTACAAGCCCAGCTTGGGGCAAGGACAGTAGGTGGGGTGGCCGGAACCGCTGCAGCCTCGCTGCGATCACGGGTTGCATATTGGCAGACAGGATAGAGTCAGAGCTGGAGGAGTGCCAAGCAAGCATCCATTCTGAGCGCCCATTGTTTGGATGGGCACGGAGGCCTTGCGGGAGAGGGAGCCTTGGCTAAGGTCACACCCTCGAGGGCAGGGGCTGTGGAAAAATCTCCTAGAGGGTGGACGCTGCTGGAGGCCTCCCAGGTTCAGCATGCTGAGTGACCCTGGCTAAGCCTCCGACCTTCTCTGGGCTTGAGTCTCCACAGTCTGTACTTTGGTTGAGGCGGTCCCAAGACCTGACGTCGGAAGTTTCCATGAGTCCTTTCCTGGGCAGCGCAGACCCGCAGTGGGCCTGCAAGGGGTTAAGCTCCTCTTGCTCACTCGCACTCTGCAGGCAGACAAACCCCCTCCTCCTGACAAACACTTGTAGGAAATCAGGCTGGGCGCTTCCTGCTTAAGCAAGGCGGCCTCCGCAGCAGCAGGGGCGGGGAGAGGTGGAGAGCGATGCTTGTCTGTGAGCAGCAGCTCCAGCGGGCAGAGCGGCCTGGAGGCGGGCCAGGGCGCCATGGAGGCAGGGGGCTCCCCAGGTTTGGAACAAAGACCTCACATGCAGGTCCTCTGAGCCTGGGCCAGCAGGATGGTGGAGCCCAAGAGAGGTAAGGGAGTGGAAGAGGGGAGGGGAGAAGCCTCCTTCCCTCCGGACGAGCCAGTCACAGGCTGTCGAGGACAGTCCAAGGCGGCTGGACCAGCCCAGCCAGGAAGTTGCAGCTTCGGCAGCTGTATTACTTCTCTCCCAGCTTAGGGGAACCCGGCCCCCTGGGCAGGGGTAGATTTTAGGGGGATTTTCTGAAGTCTCGGGATGGTGGATTCCAGTACGAGCTCTGATTCTGATCTCTGGAACTTGGACAAGTGCTGGCCCCTCTCTGTGCCTGGGGTGTCCTCATCTGCACATGGAGAGTTAGTCCTACAGGCTGCTAAGGGGCCTCAGACACGATGCACAGATGAGGGGCAGGCCAGGAGGCAGCAGAGGGTCCCCATGAAAGAGTGGCTCCTTCTGCCCCGTAAGAGCACGGGAGGACCTGGGGGTGACCCAGCAGACCCAGCCCAGCAGCGAGGGCGCCTGTCCTCTTCCTCCTGGGCCTCTGCTGCTGAAGAGAGCTGGGGGGCTAGCGGGGAGTGGCCGGTGCTTCTTCACCGGTCTAGTTTCTACACAAGCTGGCAGAACCGCTTGAGAACAACAGGTCTGTGCCCTGCCAACTGGTCAGGGAGGGCAGCCAAGTTTGGGGCTCTGACCCCAAAAGCCCAGCCTTTTTGAAGAAGCCCAGCCACTTGATATAATAGGGGGTCTTCTTTCCCCTTTCTCCTGCCCTCCCCTCAAGTGTGATGGACTTGGTTTCAACGTCACGGGCCCTGGGTTTGAATCCTGGGGCCGCACATCCTGGCTGCAACATCTTGTGAGAGCCCGCCGCCTCTCTGTGGCTCCATTTCCGAATCTGGGAGATATCAGTGTGGGAGCAGCGGGGCAGCCCTGGACAGCCCTGGCTGGATGGGAAGGGGCTTCAGAAAGCATGGGGAGGTAGAGGTGGGCTGCATGGCTGGAGCTGGCCAAAGAGAGCCGGGGAGCTGGAGCCGTAAAGAGAACTGTCCTCGATTTCAGAGTGGCTCAGGGGATAGAGACGCGCTGAGTGGAGAGAGAGGCCACATGGGTCTCCCAGACCCTTGAGAAAGCCAGGGGTCGGGGTGTTGTGGTGGATGGGGGGAGACGTACAAAAGGAACAGGGGTGGTGTGGGGGGTTGGTGCTTCCTTGTGGGGCTAGTTTCTCCTGGGCTGGCGGCCCAGTCCTTTAGGGAACTTGGTGCTAATAGGGCCTTCCTGGACTCAGCCCCCAGCTCACATGGGGGCCCTTCACCCAACCCCCCCGCCTTTTGGGAGCAGCCCTGCTGCCCTCATGGAGGCTGACTAGAACAGCCTGGCTTGTGTTACTGTTCAAGCACCCCTGCCCGTCGCTCTGCATCAGGTTCTGTCCATACTTCCAGACCTCTTTTGCCTGTGCTGTTCCCCCTGCCTGGAATGGCCTCCCCCATTCTTCTCCCTGCCAAACCCTGTCTGTGTCTCAAGCCCAGCTTAATGCTTCTCTTTCTTCAACAGCCTTTCTGTACTCTCATCCTCCTCTCCCCCACCTTCATTTGGCATTTTGGAATGCTTTTTCTCCTTTCTGTATTCCTGTGTCTTGTGTGGTGCTCGGCACACAGTAGGAGGTCACGGGGTTTTTTACAAGTTAATGTGCACCCACTGGGTGCTCACTATCTTTGTTACTCTGAAAGGGGACTCCAGGGAGGAGGAAGGGGTTAGCAGTTCTGAGGCTGTTGCCGTCAGACGCCAGCGAGTCAACCAGGAACCTCCAAGTTCATGAAGCCACCTCTCAGCCCTCTCTAACAGGAAGATACCCCCTTGCCGTAGCAAGAGCAGGTGGTGTTCTCTCCATTTTACAGTGAGGAACTCTTCAGCCCAGCGGTTCACCACGGAGCAGCAGCACTGGCCCAGAACCTAGCCCTCCAGACGCCCAGCCCGTTTCTCTTTCACAGCAGCCCAGTGAGCGTGTGTCCTCGTCCCAGCCTGAGGTTGGTGTGTGACTGGCACTCATAAGTGTTTTTGACTGGCCAGCTGACTGTCCAATAGTCCCACGCTCCATGGCACCGAGGGTCCAAGGGCCGCGGCATGCGTGGAAGACAGAGGTCCTGCTCAGAAGAGGCTCGCAGGTTTGAGGGCCTGGTGCACATGTGCAAAACTCTAGCCAGTGACCGCAGCTGCCTCCGACACCCGGCCTCCCTTGGTGAGATTTCTGTGATGACTGAGTCATCCCAGGGGACAGGATGTTCCTCTTTGTGCCCCAGAAGCCTCTGTGATTGGACAGGCTGCTCTATGGCACGGCCAGAAAAAAAGCCCTTCAAAAAAATAAAAAAAACACATGCCTCCCCTGGCCCCTTCCTCCAGCAGTGGTTTCAAAAATAATGTAACGGCTCTTAACACCTCTCACACCTGCCACAGTAGCAGAAGCCAGAAGGCCTAGTCAACCCAAAGGGCGGGCCTTGCCTGGGGCACTGGTTTAAAATACAGATTCCTGGGTCCTATCCCAGAGCCACTAGTCAGACCCTAAGACTCTGCATTCTTAGAGGATCCTTAAAGCACTCAAGCTTAAGTCCCACTGGCAGGGATTTCCAAGAGAGGTACAGCGCCCCCACCACCACCCCCACCACCCCCAAGTATGGGAAAAAAGATTAGAATGGCCCTTCAAAATATTTATTTTGTATTGTATCTTAAAAATTTGTTCTTGGATATATGTTTTTTAAATACCTATAGTATGTTAGCATGAGAATACATGTATATAAAGTTTTAGGAAATATATATTAGGTGTGCCAGCAAATATATATTTTCACAGATGAGTTGTGTGATTTTAAAAAAAAAAAAAAAGTTGGAGACCACTGGGCCAAAACTGACAGTTCCACACCTTGCTCTGTCACTAAGCAGCTGGATGATGACCTTGGCCAAGTCCCTATTCCGTGTTGAGCTGCAGTTTTCTCATCTGAAAAATAGGCTTCCTGTGACCCACTTACCTGTTTGGGGTGAGGGCAGGTTGACAACATGCAGTTAAAGCTTCTAGGCCAGGCTAGCAAGAGTGGGCACAGCACATGTGGGGCCACCATGGGGATGCCCCCAGGGCGATATGGAGGCAATTCTGGGCGAGAGAGGAATAAGAAGTGGGGGGATGAGCCCCCATCCAAGGAGCAGGGGATGCAGCCAGAGGGGAGAATGTTACTCCCTGTCCCCACCTCAGCCCTTGAGCAGGCTGCAGCCTTTCTCGGGCTCTGTGTTCCCTGGGGGACTTTCTATGCAGAAATAGTTGCCAGCTGACTTTTCTCAACAGTACAAATCAAGGCTCTGACCAAGACCCAACTGCTCCCGAGGCTGCAGGGACACACACCCCTGACTGTACCTCGAGGCCTGGAGTTATTCTCCATCATCTCCATGGCATAGGGGGAGGAGCCTGGACCTGGGCCACAAAGTGGCCTTGCACCCCAGCCTTGTTCTGGCTGATGTGTGGCTACGGGCAAGGCCCCTCTGCTCTCTGGGCCTCCGTTTGCCCTCCGGTAGAGCAAGGCCTTTGTATGAGATCCTGGAAGCCCCCGAACTCCTGGTGTGGGACCACGTCTTCTGCTCTGTCAGCTTTGTGTTTCCAGGGCTCCGTGTGGTACTGGGCACCGAGGAGGTGCTGTAGACGTGTTGGGCATAGCAGGAGGATACGGGAGACGGAGGCAGGAGGAGATGAGAGGGAGAGAAGGAAAAGAGGGAAAGGAGGTGAGGATAGAGCAGCCCGAGAGGAGCTTCTAAGCCGCACCACCATGTGTTCTCCCATGTCTGGGATGCCCTTCAAATGCCTGAACAGGACCCGTGAGGTTCTGGCCACCGCCTCTCTCCTTGCCCACACGCTCTGCAGTCAAAGCGCCCAGCCCCTGCCCCCCCAACACCACAGCCTTCAGGAAACCACATCCATGCCCTCCTCTGCCTTCAGACTTTTGTACTCGCTGGTCCCCTTGTCTGAAATGCTTTTTTTTTTTTTTAAATGGAGGTGAAATTCATATAATATAAAATTCACCATTTTAAAGTGAACAATTCAGTGGCATTTCATGTATTTATAATATTATGCAACCACCATCTCTACCTAGTTCCAAAAAATTGTCATCACCCCAAAAAAGAAACCCGTGCCCACGAAGCAGTCGCCTCCCACTGCTCTCTCCCTCGGTCCCTGGTGACCACCAATCTGCTTTCTCTCCCATGCACTTACCTATTCTGGATGTTTCATAGAGATGGACTCACACCGTACATGACCTTTTGTGTCTGGCTTCCTTCACTCAGCATGATGTTTTTGAGGTTCATCCGTGTGGTGGCCTGTGTCAGCACTTCAGTCCTTTTTATGGCCGAGCAGCATTGCATTGTATGTGTATACCACACATTGTTTATCGATGCATCGTTGATGGACGTTTGGGTTGTTTCTACCTTTTGGCTATTTGAGCAGTGCTGCCGTGAACATGTGTGTACATGTATTTGTTTGAGTGCCTGTTTTCAATTATTTGGGGTACTGGAATGCTCTTTTCACCATCCCCCCACACTCCCGACCTGAATTCTTGCCCAAGGCGGGCCCAGGAAGGTTCCCAGAGGAAGCGGCTTCTACATAGGACTTTCCCCGGCTTCCTAGGCCTGCACTGGACCCATCAGCCTTCCCCACGGCTCTGGGCCTGTGCGCAGCACCCACGCTCGGAGCCTGGCACAAGGTAACAATTACTAGCACACACCCAACACCTGTCCGTGTGCTGGCCCATGGCTCCTCAACCTGTATACAACTCTGGATGGAGGGACAAATTATTATCCCAGTTTTACTGATGAAGAAAATGGAAGCAGAGTGACCTGCCCACGGTCACAGAGCTTCAACGGGGTGGAGCCAGGAGCTGAACCAGGGCTGCCTGATCCCAGAGTTCCTTCTGGTAACGTCGTGTTCTAAAGAAAGGAGGGACTCGTGGATTAATGCTGTCCATTGATTGTGTCCCCACCAGGCCTCAGGCAGGATGGCTGGTGCTGAGAGGAGCCAGTGGTGACGCTGGTGTCCATAGTGGCAGCTCCATCTCCTGAAGATGAAGTGGCCCAGGTAAAGCACAGGCCAGGCCTAATGGCCAGCTCGGGGACGGAGGTCCACTGGGCCGAGCCAGGCCTGGGGAAGGGGCCCCAGCGGCGGCGCTGGGCCTGGGCTGAGGAGGAAAAGGATGCTGATGGGAGTGGCCCACCCAGCTGGGGAGAAGAAAGACGCTTTCCCGATGCCACCAGCCCTGAGCTTCTGGAGGACTTCCGCCTGGCCCAGCAGCACCTACAGCCACTGGAGCGGGGCCTGGAGCTGCAGCCTCATGGGCACCAGGATTCCGAATCAGGAGAGTCTGCGGAAGAGGGTGAGAGCGACTCCTCCCAACCTCACAGAGGTAGCCCTCAAACATCCCACCTTCTGGTGGGAGGTGGGAAGTCGGGGGGAGCTTTAGAAAAAAGCTTAATTAAAATCTATGAAGTCTATAATTAAAAATTGTTTAAGAATTACGTAAGTAATACTGTTCATTGTAGAAAAATCAGAAAGTGGAAAGCAAAAAGAGGAAAAACATTACCTATTATCCAGATAGCTCTTTTCCACAGGTGTATATACAAAGGTGGTATGCATATGGAACCGCGATTTAGACACTATATTGTAACCTGGTTTTTTGTAACTTAATAGACATGAACGTGTTTTCAGCTCATGGAATATTCTTGCATAAGTCATTCCTAATGCCTGACTAGGAATTCCATGGTGTGGATGGTCTGAAATTTATTCAGCCATTCCCTTATTGCTGGGCATTTAGGTTGCTTCTGTTTTTTTGCTATTATAAATAATGCAGAGAGGAATGTTATCAGCATATGCCTATACATTTGATTTGATAATAATTTGAGTAATTTAAATTGCTTGGTCCAGGAGTTATGCCCATTTTAAAGATTTTATAAGATCCCAGCTAGCAATGGGATTGTTGTTTTCCAAAGTAACCGTTCCCTTTGCATCAAGACCAACTTAGATTAGCTCCCTAGTTTGGCTTGGCAAGTCCCTTCTCCTCTCGGAAACTTGGCTTCCCCATCTGTGAAATGGTTGTAATGGTGCCATTAATAGTAAGAGCTTGGTGCTTGGTGCCTATTGCTCTTTGAGTACAAATGAAATGCCCCTGTCTTAGGATTCTGCGAGTCAGGCAGGCCCCTGTGGGTGGTAGAGAAGCCATTAGGCTGGTAGTGGATTGTGCCATGACCCGAAGTTTTTCATGCCAGGCTTGCCCACAGCTGCCCTCTAGGGAGCCATCTCTGAGCTCTCCCTCAGGGAATGAGATGCACTGGGATGAAAGGGCAGAGGCATCTCTTCCTGCGGTCACATGGTAACCTCCTGTATGCTGCAACACCTGCTGGCATGTCCTGTGCCCTTACTCTGTGCCAGGTGCAGGGCTAGGCAGAGCCTGGGACTTGTCTCCTTCCCTCCTCACCACCTCTGCCAGGTAGGAGGGGCTAGCCTCCAGTCTGAGTAAGGACAGCCAGGGAAGTCAGCTACTTGCCCGATTCCCAGAGAGGGATCAGAGGGGCCTGGATCAAACTCGGGGCCCCCTGGCTCCAAAGCCCACTCTCCTCATCCCATGGCATGAACCCCAGTGGCAGAAACAGAAACTAACTTGCCTGCATGGCTGGGACCTGGGTTCTACGTCCACGACTGCTCTGAACCACTGTGTGATCTTTGGCAAGATGCTTAACCTCTCTTGACTTCGAGTGTGCTGCTCTAAACAAGAGACTTGCTGAAGGAGATTTTAAGGAGTGGAAGGATGTAGACGTGCCAAGGGTAGGGGGAAAAGCATAGGGGAGCAGGGAGTGATACAAGGGTTATGACAAAGGGGCATCTGGCCAGAGCAGAGAGACTGTGCTTGGCGTTGTGCAGACTGTCTCACAAAGCTATGGCTCTATCCCAGAGGCTGACGTAAGATCTAGGACTGAGTAGGTGCTCAGTAAACATTGACTATATGGATGATGCATCGATGGATGGACAAATGGGTCAGTGGGTAATGAATGGGTGAGTGGCTGGGTGGATAGGTAGATGGATAGATAGAGGGGTGAATGGGTGTTGCATGGGTGAGTGGATGGGTGGGTGGATGGATGAATATTTCTTGGGCACCCGCTATGTAATAATTACAACTATCCATTTTCTGGGGGCATTGCATACCTTATTGTCCTCCTTCCTTCCCTTCCTTCTTGCCTTCTTTCAGTCAACAAGTATTGAGCAGCTACTCTGCAAATACAATAGTAAATGAAAACAGAGGGTGTCCTTATCCTCATGGAGCTTACAGTGTGGTGGGGGAGAAAAATTTTAAAGATACAATCACATAAATAAGTGGAAAACTGCAGCTGTGATAAGTATTTCAAAGTAAAGGTATTCAGTCCTGTGATCGCCTATTAAGGGAGAATTTGACCTGGTAAGGACGATCTGAGAAGACTTCCTTGATGGGGTCAAGGTTGAGCTAATGCCTGAAGGACAAATAGGAGATAAGTAGGCCAAGGAAAGAGAACCCTGGGAGAGGGATCAGCATATGCAGAGGCGCTGTGGTGGGAGAGGATGCGGCATGGCTAGAGCAGGGAGAGACAGGGGGGAGCCCTGGAGAGAGAATCAGGAGAGCTAATCGGGGCTGGAGGCAGGGACCTTGGATCCATATTAAAGGAT